AGGCAGGAGGATCATTGCGAGTTTGAGACCAGCCTGGGCTACAGAGTGAGCTCAAGACTGGCCTGAACTGCACAGTGAGACCCTGTCTCAAAAAAAAATATTTGGTCAAAAGCCATGCCTATAATTTCAGCACTTGGGAAGTTGAGACAGGAGGATCTCTACTGGGCTACATAGTACCCAAGGCCAGCCTGAACTACATAGCAAGACTCTGCCTCACTGCTCCCCCCATCTTTGGCACACTTGTCTGCAGTGGGAGGAGGGTCTCGCCATGGCAGGAATAAGTATTCCTCAATGACCCCTGGGCAACGCCTAGCTGGACAAGTGATGTGGCTGGGATCAGTAGTGTGCCTATCCTGGACATCGTGTCCCTGTGGCTGATGTTACTGAGAACTCTGTAATGATGACATAACCTCATGTGATTGTCGGTCACGCTGCTACAAGCAAGTTTCTTTTTTTATTTTTATTTTTATTAGTACATGTTTGCAGTACATAGCAATTACATTCATTATGGGGAGTCAATACATGTACAGAACATATCTTAATTTTTTAAATCCCCTCTCCTTCCCCTTCCTCTACCTACAAGCAAGTTTGTTGGCCAGCAGAGCAAAGGACAGAGCTTGGGGTGTAATAACCCCCGTAAGGTGCCACCGCTCTCCAGTCCTGTGACATCGAACCAGGAAATGGGAAGGAGGGTTGAAAGTCGAAGCCAGTTTAAGAATGAATTTCCTGGGGCTGGGGATTTAGCTCAGCGGCAAAAGCGCCTGCCTGGCAAGCGCAAGGTCGTGAGTTCGGTTCCCGGTACCAGAGAAAAAACCAAAAAAAAAAAAAAAAAAAAAAAAAAAAAAAAAAAAAAAAAAAAAAAAAAAAAAAGAATGAATTTCCTGTAAGAGACAGGATTCAAAACAGGGAGAGGGCTGGGCATTGTGGTGCATACCTATAATCCTGCTTTACTAGCACTTGGGAAGTTGCGGGCAGGAGGATCCCTGAGGAGTTTGACTGCAGCCTGGACTATGTAGCAAGACCTTGTCTCAAAACAAACAGCGGAAACTGGGTGTGGTGGCGAACGCCTGCAATCCTAGCACTTGGAAGGCCGAGGCAGGAGGATCATTGCGAGTTCAAGACCAGCCTGGGTTACAAAATGAGCTCAAGGCCAGCCTGAAGTGCATAGCAAGACCCTGTCTCAAAAAGACAAAAACAAAACAACAACAACAAAAAAAACAGCTGGGCATAGCGGCACATACCTGTAATTCCAGCACTTAAGAGGCTGAGGCAGGAGGATCCCCATGAATTGGAGGTCAACCTGGGCTACATAGGGAGTTCAAGGCCAATCTGAACTACAAAGGGAGACCCTATCTCAAAACAAAAAAAACAAACAAACAAGGAGCAGGCCAGGCATGGTGGTATTATTCTGTAATCCCAGCACTCTGGGAGTCTGAGGCAGAAGGATTAGTGAGACTTTGCCTCAAAATAAAAAATAAAAAGACCAGGAGATGCTGGGTGTGGTGGCGCATGCCTGTAATCCCAACACTTGGGAGGCTGAGGCTGGAGGATCGCTGTGAGTTTGAGGCCAGCCTGGGCTACATAGTGAGTTCAAGATCAGCCTGAATTGCACAGTGAAGCCCTGTCTCAAAAAGACAAATCAGACAAACAAACAAACAAAACCTGGAGATGTAGCTCTGTGCAAAGGTTCTGTGTTCATTTCCTAGTGCAGAGGGAAAAAAAGAAGGCTGGGTGTGTAGTGCTTGCCTAGTTTGCTGAAACCCTGGGTTTGATTCTCTGTGGAAAAAAAGGAAAGTAAACATCTACCAGATAAAAATCAGTGTTTCAGAGTTCATCTGGAACAAACAGGAGCACTTCCTCTATGGTCAAATTGAGTTTCCTTTTTAAAGAGAAAACTGAAACTGTCAATGGGCTGGGTCTGAGAAATTCCTCCAGCTGAGATGAGGAACTTAGCCCATCCTACCTCAGAACCATATTGAGGATGAACATGAGTCCAGGCTCCGGCAGCCTCTCAACCAGATGGCAAGAGCTGAGGCTTTTTATCTTTCCGGCCAATTGCACACAGGAGAGTCCAATAATGCCCACTGAATTAATGGATGACTGATAGTAAACATTTATTTTGAGCTACAGACTTCCTGGTGCTGGGCTGGGCACTTTCTGAAGAGTATTTCATCAAATTCTTTTTTCAGCAGCCAGTTATGGAGGAATTACTAGCTCTATCTTTCAGATAAGAAACCGAGGATCAGAGAGGTTGTCATTTTCCTGAGACCACCAAATACTAAGAGTGAAGGTTTGGGCTTCAGACTGTTAGCTAAAAAGCTGAGGTGGGTAAAGAATATGTGCAGAGCCCAAGGTGGTGGCACATGCCTGTAATCCCAGCACTTGGGAGGCTGAGGCAGGAGGAACTCTGTGAGTTTTAGGCCAGCCGGAACTACATAGTGAGACCC